CTGTGTAGGTTTCATTTGGACCCATCTATGAATGGTGTAACACTCACAGATGTGCTCAACATGACTCATCAGTTTGAAGTGAGCACTGCGTTGTGGTTTGGTGTGGGAATGAGCTTGAATGACATTAGCAGTGTTTGTGAGTGGGTTCTGAATTATAATCGCTGTTATGTGTTGAACAAAATACATGAGAGTATACTGCGGATTGTTTTTATCTGGAGACGATAACCTCTGACTCGAAGAAGAAGATTATCAAAAGGTATTTTATTATTTTCTTCCCCAAAGAGACATTTTAGATCCAGCATTGTGCAGAGAGAGCAATTCATTCAACAAACCTAACACAATCAGTTTGTCTTCTATATTTTAGCCATTTAGATAAACAGTTATGATGCAGTTCAGCTAGTCAGTCAGTCTATTAGTTGAGGTAGTCAACGACTGATTTATATCACCTGCTCAGTTACTGTTGTATTTCATCATTCGTTCACTCTTTCTTTAGCCTAGATGTTCTCCATCTCTTTCCCTCAGTCCTTTATTTTTCTTCCCCCAAGCCTCCTTGTACTGTTTGTTCAAATCCAATTTCAACACAAAGTTGTTGAGTTCATTGTTTATTCAGTAACTTTTTTTTAAATTTACTCTTTTTTTCATAGTATTTTCCTTTGTTTTTATATTTTTAAACCTTTTTTATACTTAAATATGCTTACTGGATGCACATCAACCCACACTCGTGCCACTTATGGTCCATGGATTTTTCATCCATCTTTCATCATTCACTCAGGGGATATTTGCTGTTTTTAACCATTGAACATTGACCTCCATTGTTGACCTTTTGGCAATCAGATTTCTAGCATTAGGCTCCTTAAAGTTGTTGCTAATAGGAGAGGCAAGCATTTCTAATTAAATTCCTCAAGCTATAATTTTCCATTTAGTGACCTTTGGCTACAGATGTGGTTCAAAATTAGCAACTGTCAACTCACTGACTGATATGTTGTTGAAGCGGATGATCACTGAGTTTGTTTGCCGATTAGATAACTGAATAATGGTTTTAACTGTTTTTTTGTTTTCAGTTTTTTGAAGAAACAAAACTTTTCGCAGTTGACATGTTTTCTTATCAGATTTCACTTCTTTAAGTCAAGGGACTCAGGGTAGAACAATTTACTTGACAAATTGTATTTCATGACCATATAATGAATTATTTTCTTTGTTATATCTTTTTTGTTCCTTTATTTGGTTTTAAATTATATTAAGTTCACATATTTTTTTCTTTTGTCATTGTTCTGTTTCTTTCATTCAATTGTCTTCACTGCAAAGATAATTAATACGTTTGTGTTATTGTTTATTGTGTTATTGTTTATTGTGTTATCGTATAAAGATATTTGCTTGCAGAAAAACTGACACTTGTTCTTACAAAGTCACTGCCGCAATGATCTTTCCTAACTGAATGATATTTTTTCATCATGTATTAGCTCACATTTAGCTCTTTTTTCAATCATATAGTTGATTATGTTTGTGTTTTTTCCATGTTTCCCCTGTTACTGTTATTTTCTGTTTTAGTAGACTTGTTTGTATTTAAATTTTTGTATTTGTTTTTCATGTTGATCCCAACCTCCTCCATCACCCCTGCAGTCTGCGTCACGCCGTCGTCGAAGTCGTAGCATGTCCATTTGCGTGCCCCCCTCCTCCTATTCCTTTTCTTCCCATGCTCCTCCGCCCCTGGCAGCTCCTCCAAAGCAGCCCTCCACCCCTCCTCCAGATCTGTCATCCTCATCCTCCTACATCACCTCCCCTGGCACGCCTCTCGTTGCTGAGAGGGATACATTTGCTGGGCGCCTCTCCAAGGCCCTGGAGACAGTCCTACCCCTTCACGCTGCTTCCTCTCTGCCCAAGACCAGGCAGCGTCGGGCCAGCCTACCTGCCCTGTTCTCCGCCCCTGTAGGTTCACAATCTTAATCACAGTGGTGGTGAGAACCAGAAATGGAGAGAGAGATGAATATGGGCCACAGTGATGTCTGAAATTAGAGAACATCTAAAACTGCTGAAATAACTTTTTGCATGTTTTAGAAGAGCTTGAATTACTCAGCTTTTGACAAATATATAATCCAAACAGAAGACATGTAAACAATCTACAGTTTAAAGAAAGGTTGGGTTTTTTGCTTGGCAATAGAAAGTGTAAGTTAAAATGCACCTCAGAAAAGATCTTGAACTGGTTTGTACCAGTGTAGCCTTTCTGCCCCCTGTTCTGAATATTACTATGTATCTATGTGATTCATAGTTTCCATATCTTCTGTAACTAGTCATAGCGTCATCTACATTATATTATGAGTTAAAGGAAATTTAAGTGGCAAATGTAGGTAAATACATAGGACCCCTTATCTTAGTTTGCCTTCAAACACTGCTGTGAGTCCATCTTTTTAGCCATTCACTTTCTCTCTCTCTCTCTCTGCGCCTCTAATAAACCACCATGTGTTTTTATTAAATACAGAATTACTTTCTTCACCCAAAGGCCTAAGACCCTTTGCATCTGCCATTCAGGAAAACTGGTCATTTGACAGCCAAGCCATTTAATTTGTCCTTTTCAAAATTTAATTGGTACAAAATATATCACTATTAGAAAGATTAGTTTTTTTAGACATCTAATAAAAATAAATAAATACGAAATTGCAAAAAGGTCCATGGCTAGATATGAACCTAGGATGTTACAGCTCAGTGTCAGTGCTCTAACTCAGGAAACATTAAGCCTTTTTGGAATGGCAAAGAGAAAGAATACAAGCATAAAACTTAAAAGTACTATACATATTTATTTATATTAAAGAAAAGAATCTGCAACCAATTCCCTCCTTCAGATAATGTCTCAAAAGCAAAAGAGATGCATGCAGACCCATTCCTTGAATCATCAATAACCCCCAACATTCTTTATATCTTCATTCAGAGGAGCAAGTTAAGATAAAAGACAGTTTTCTTGAGTGCAGATGCATCATAATAATGTTGAGCTTCAAGCCAGCATTTGCCCTCTCCTTTGCATGTAATCCTCCAACTTCTATCAACGTGTGAGCTATTGCTGTTTGTCCATCTCGTCTCTGTGTTGTCTGTCTGTCTGTCTTTGAGCAGTACCACTTTTTCACTCTATCTGTCAGGATGCAGTAATCAGCTTTGCATCTTGACATTACCAAGTTGCTTAATGTCAGCTTTTTATATTTTTAAGTGTACTCTGTCCTGTGATAACCACATTGTTGCTAGCTTGGAGGGAGAATTTATGTCCCTTTTTCTCTTGGTATTCTTATGAAAATGTGCTGACTATTTGAACTTTTTTGCTGCTTTCATTTGGGCCTTTGCTGTTGTTCTCTCTTTCTCATTCTCTTAGTTTCATTCTCAAATCCATTGTATCTCATTATCGCAGCAGCATTCAATGCCGCACCCCTACAGTGGAGGAACAAGCGCAGGAGGAGGAGCAGGAGGAAACATCCTCCTCCCAACTCATCCTGACCCTGCTATTTTCTTCCCCTCCATCCCTGAACGCCCCATTTCCTTCTCGCCTCCTCCCACTGGGCCTCCAAAGGCCTACAACACCCAGCGACGCAAGAGCACGTCAATTCTAGAGGCCCACACCCGCCACTTCCAGCCTGCTTACGCTCGCTATGGGAGCAGCCTACACCCCTTTTCTGGGATGGAGGGTGTAGAGACTCCCTCTCTCTTTATGGTGAACCCTGGTTTTGCAGCAGCTGCTCAAAGACTTGGTGTGGGGGAGCCACTGCATCTCCCAGGGCAGTCTGACCCGAGTCTATATGGTTACAAAGACATGAGAGCAGAGCATGAGGAAGTAGTGAGGAGATTAAGTCTAAATCAAGCTGCCTTATTGGACCATTATGAAGCAATGGCTTATGGTGGATACCCAATGACTACACACCAGCTTGGTCACTTGAGCTACCATCAGCAGAGGCAGGCAGCAGCTGCTGCTGCTAGTTTGGGTTTTGATCCTGGTCCTCCACCTCAACCAGGCTTCTTGCACCCTCACCTCATGCAAAGAATGAGTACACACAGTCCAATGCCTTCTCCTTTACCTCCAATGAGTGCATCCACTGGTGGCTCTGTTTCCTCTTCATCATCTGAAGGCTGCTATCCTCCAGCGCAGCATGGAACCCCGTCTGCCTTCCCTATTTCTGCACCTCCAGTAATGGCTGAAGCCCCACCATCTACTGGAAGTGTTTTTGAGTTTCATTTAGCTGCTGCAGCTGCAGCTGCTGCTGGAGACCCAAGCCTCCTGGCATCCAGACTTTACAGGGCTCGGAGAAGCTCCATGGACCTCCCTCTGGAAGACAACACCGGACCTGGCTCAGGTGGTTCAGGCACATACAGCCGTCTCCAGCCAGTGACAGAAGAGCTGTACACTTACGTCAGCCCAGAGCTCCCCTTACCTCCAGGAAGTCTTCTTCTTCACCACATGGGCATAACCATGAAGGACAGAAGCCCGGAACCCTCTAGCGACTCTTTGGCCTCCTCAGACGCAGGAGAATTCCAATCACCTCCTCCCCCACTTCACCCCCCCTCATTTGACTCCTCAGCTGCTCAGTCCATCCCTCACTCAACCACCACCACGTTCTTCGATTCATCAGGGGGAGTGCTCCCCATAGATCCCCAGGGACATCCACCTTCCATGCAGAGCTTTCTCCCTCCCACCCCATCCTCCGAGCTCCCACTTGGGGGAACATCATCAACTCATCTGGAGTCTCTGATCCAGAGTGCCTGGGCCCGACATGGAGGGGTGGTACCAGCACAAGCCGATATGACATACCATGAGTCATTGCTGGCCATGCAGGCTGCTAACCCCACTCTGGTACTAAATTCAGACCTTAGACATACCCCTAGACCTCTGGGTCAATTACTAGTTTAAATTATATTGTTGCTTTTTTTAGCAAACATCTGCCAACAGATGTTAATTGATATTTGATATATTGTTATTGTATCACCATATATTGTAACTTGAAGTGGTTTTGCCATAGTTCTCTAACATTGTGAAATATAGATTATAAGTAATCATTCTAGAAAAAGCAGCTGAACTAATATATAATAGTAATTTGACCCAGAGGCTGTGACACCAATCCCTGTTGTTTTTATACGTCACCAACCCAGGACCCCCAGCTGATCCTAATTTGTCACCACATAGTCTTTGGTTATGATTTTAACCCCACAGAGAGAGTCTCAGGGTCTGCCTTCATCATGTCTCACATTATTCAGTCCCTAACAGCGTTTACTTGTAGAAGAAGAATGATGTTCGTCAAGAGCATATTTTTTTTTATCAGAGCTACTTCAGTAAAGATTTAGTGACCCAGAGCAAATCTGGGAAAAAGCAGAAACATTTGATTTCTATTCAGACACAGGAGACATCATCAGTCCAATAATGACGATAAAAGCAGCATTAAGAAGGTAGTCCTTGAGACGCTTTCTGCTGTACAAGCTTATAAACAGTCTGAGCCCCCTCCCTCCTTTCTGTCTTTATGTTGTGTATTTCATTTATTTGTCAGTATCAGTAAGTAATATTTTGTCTGTATGTTCATATATAAGTGTGTATATGAGAAATGTGTGTTTGTCCAAGCATACTGTTGTGTATGGTATACTTGAATTTTTGCTTGTACAAATCCAAAGTCCATTTGATCCAATGATAATCAGAACTACCACTTGGTGAACATGTTCTATAGCTGTATATTGTAGGGATCTGCACATTGACTCATATTAGTCGTAATGAATGCAATACAATCATTGAAATATAATCATTTGATGAGACTTTGTTGATTTGTATGATCAAACACACTGAAACATACAACAAAACCGAGGGGGCTCAGACGACCCTGGCAATGTAACCGTCCAGAGCCTTTTTATTGGTGTAATTTTGATTCCTTCTGTTGTGTTGTATTTGTCATTTCTTTATTTTGGCACATTATGTTATTTCCTGCTTAGACTTGAAATCAACTTCCTGCACAGGGTTCAAAGGTTGTAGTTGAAATTCATTAAAACCCCTAGAACGCTGATATTATCAGTGTCATTGTTTACTTAGTAGGATCTCTGCCCTTTTCTTTTCATTTCCTCCTTTTTTGTTTTTCTGTCATTATCTTTGGTTTTGTTTCCTGTTATTTATCTTAAGTTCTCAATCTTTCTATAAATTTAATTTTTTAACTTCCTGTGCTGTGAAATGATTGACTGGGTATGTCGGTAGATAGTAGCGTGTCTGGTGCAACTGTCCTTAATTGTCAGCTCCAGAGTTTACAGTTGCATACAGCTTGTATGCTGCAATCAGTGTCATAAATAGTTCAAAGAATTCAGATAGGATAAATACAGACATGTTGGATCATAATCAAACAGGGAAGATTCCAAAGTATAGGCCTTTTTAAGTTTGGGATTAGAACAGGTCATAAAACGTTCTGATGATCTTCTAAACTTGCTGGAGTGATATAATCAGGCAATGTGGTGAGCCCCATCCATCTGCCTTTAGAAATATACTTTTAAAAAGCACTTATGTTGCCAAATATTTATTTCACCAGCGTCTTGATTTATTTCACAAAATACATTGTCTACAGAAAAGTTGTACCATCACTTCCATAGCATCTTCGCACATTTTGCAAAATATAACTTAAATTAAAATGTTGCTATTTCACCATTATAGCCTACTTTAATAGCTTGAAGTTGAGAAAAATGAAATCGAAGGATAAAAAATCTTTTTAACTTAAATAATTAAAAATATTTGGTCTCATTGTTTTAGCTTCTACTCTGTGCTTCGTTGATTGTGTAACAGCCACTTATTCTCACTGCCAATCACTTAGGATCCTGCATGTGAAAGAAAACCGTGTACTTACACCCTGCCTAACCCCAGTACAGTGCCTGTACCTGCTAAACTACGAGCTGTGTATATGTGCATATACATACTGTAGGTCTGTGTGCATATATCTGTCGCTGGATGGATTCATGTACATAGGTAGAACATGTGTGCATCCACAAGAAGAAAATCTAGATTCAAATCTGATTCCTAGAGAAGAAACGTCGTCAGTACCTTGTGTTTGCACTCATGCGCAAATTTTGATCTCAAGGCTGCAGACGTGTTCTAATTGTTTCTTTTCTTCTCTTTCTCCCATTCCAATCTTTCTCGATTTCTCATCTTTATCTCCCACCGTTTAATATCGTGCAACATTGCATCTCCTCCTCTCTGTCCATCTTCCTGTCTTTCTTTGTCTTAATCTTTTTCTCAGCAGCAGATTCAGGCTCCCACCCCCCAGCCCTCGCCAGGACCCCCCATTGTCCCTGCCACCTCCCAGTCAGTGCCCCCTGGGACCTCCCAACAAGTAAGACTGCCAGAAACACAACAAGAGACTTTTTTCTCTTCTCCTCCCATTCCTCCTCACGTTATCGCTCTCAACACATTCATAATGTCTTCCCCTTGATGTCCAAACCCCATGAAGATAAAATACAAAAATAGATCCACTCTCATGTTTTATGCTTATGCAGTAATAACTCATATGTCGGTTTTCTCTTTGAAGCTGTTGTCTTTGCTTCAAGGTAACTACTCCCACACAGCTGGCGCTTCGCCCAAAGTAATACTACAGTCTTTTTAAAGAACTTCCCCCAGTGCACACCCCTGCCTTGAAATAATTGCTGCACTAAACCAATTTGATTGAGCATGAAACCAGATGGTAATCTGAGATCAGATGTTTCCTGTAGAAAATAATTGAATGTTACAATTATTATTTCTTAAATGACCAAAACAACCATGCCAGCCCGATTGGGGTCCCCATGTTTCTGTAAGAGCTGCATTCCAAATGTTTATTCACCATTTTGCATTTTTATCCAGGTTATTATAGGCAGGAAGTGTTAGGGAACTGCTCTAGTTTAAAAAGTATTGCACCATAAAAACAGGCTGATGTTAATGTAAACATTTACATTCATACCATCTCTTACACAAAGTCTCTCCTCTCTCTAATTGTGTGTCTCTGTGTGTGTGTCTGTGTGTCTCTCCAGGTCATTTCATCCAGTCAGAGCAGTACTTCAGTTCAGAGTCCCACACACACAACTCTGCCGCAGGCATCTGCACAGGTACAGCAATGCTTTTAATTTCAATATATACAGATGAACAATACACAATAAACGCATTCCGATCTCTACTAATTATAAACTGACAGATATTGTACATTTCTAAGGTGAAGTGACTAATTACATATATAAAAAATACATATTGATAAACAGATTAATTGTGGAAATGGAATGAGAAACACATTAATCAATCTTCTGTTCCATCTGTTGAGATCTGATGTTATGTCAGCTAATTGTTTGGTCCTGTTGCCAGTAAACAAATGGAGGAGAAATTCAAAGATCATGTTACTCTGATTCTTCATCTGAATGTAATTACTGTGTGTTTTTGCGCAGCCTGAATTGGTTCTTTAAACTTTGCTCTTTCATTGACTCAACTTGTTTCTGCTATTTTTCTTTCCACTCATCGGCATGCTGCCTGTTTATCACCGGGTTTGTTTTTATTTGTGTTGATGCTTTTTCCGTCTGTATCCATGTATGTTTGTGTTTGGTCATATTCTTGTGATTTAATGCACAAAATGGATGGTGTATTGTGTGCATGTGTATTCAGTTGTGTGACCTCAGTCCGTCTCCCAGTATAGAACAGCTTTACTTTTTGTACCAAGTTGCTAAACTGGCTCTGGTTCAGGTACCGTTATGTATGATACAGTGTGTGTTGATGTACAGTAGGTGCCAGTTGGTCTCTGTTCCTACGTGTGTGTTTGTGTGTTGAATGTGATTTGGTCGGTAAACAGAACATTGATGAGCAGATTGATTCCTCTTGTGTCTGTTCTGTCTGTGTATGTTAAACTGTAGCTCTGTGTTTCGTTAATCCACATAGTTGGTACTTTTCCTTTATTCAACCCAGATGTTTTTACCAACCACCCAATTGAAAGCATATACAATCAATTAACATAGGAAACAATGGTAAAGACACACAAGACTCACTATCCTGTATGTTGAAGTACCGAAGAAATAAAAGAGTGTGATCGTCCCTAAGATTCTTTCCACCTGAAGATTTATAGCCTAACACTATCCTGAGTATACCTCTTTAAATCCCATTGTAAAAAACATTTGAGAATATTTCTTTTAGCTGTCTCTTGATTCTGAATATGTTATCAAAGACCGTTGCTCATCTGCACCACACAAATAATTTTTCTTGGTCAGGCAGCACCGTTAAAACTCGTACACAAAACATGATCCGTAGAAATGTTGTATTGTGGTTGCATGGTCTTCAAGTGTTGTATGTTTTACCTGGTGTTCATGTCACATAGTTTGTTGTTTGGTTGAAGAGCTTGAGATGTTGTCGTTAATAGACTTAATCCTATTGTGTTTATAGCATGTTGAGAGTGTCAGAATGATTCGAGTCAGTGATGGGTCAGTGAACTATGGATGGATCTCTCTTGATATGCCTGTCTGCATACACCTGACCACTTGATGGGTTTACCTCCCTCATCCTTCCTGTGACTTTGCAAATTTCCTTTTCTCACTTTTTACCCATCCTCTTCCCTCATTTTCTTTCTTCTTGCCTCCTTAATTTTCCTTTCTGCCTCTTTCTCCTCCTCTTTCTTGCCCTTGCGCCTCTTCTCAGCCCAGTGTTACTCCGTCTACTTCTACGCACCCTTCTCCTTCGCCATCCCTTCCTATTACCATGCCGACAGCGGTTGTGGCTTCCCCACCTTCTCCTCTGCCCCTCTCTGTTGGAGTGGTGCCTCCTATTGTTTCCCCTCCTCCTCCTGTGCCTCAACCATTGGCCACCATGGTGCCAATCATCAGCGTAGTCACCGCCCCACCTGACACTCCCATGGAAGCCCCTCCCCAGGTACTGGTTAGAGATGATCAAAACCACCACGTGGATGTCGTGTCCCTGTTCAATGTTCTCACGTTTGTGTGAAATCATTTGTTAGAGCAGTGGACCCCAAACATTTTAAACCAGAACCTTGGTTTAATGAGTTGTGAGTTTTTTAAAACAAGAGTTTGGATTTATGTATGTGTTTATAGCTTTGTCTGTAACTGTTCACAGTTGGGACCCATATTTGCTCCCACAAAATGTATATTGTCTGAGTTGCACTTATTTAACATAAATTTGAGTGATTGTTAGAATGGTAATTTAAGTCTTTAGTATGTGGTTTACTGTGCATTACTCAGAGTAATCAGTTTGGTGTTTTGTGTTCAATAGTTTGTTGGGTTTTGGCTTGAGTGTAGCGACACAGATTTATTCGGCAGTGAAATTGAAATCAATTGATGTGATGTCATGGAGAAACACAGCAGTGATTGGTTCGCAATACATTTTATAGAACCGGTCTGTCAGTGTCTGCAGAGACCTTAACTATGAGACAAGGATGCATGTGTTATATATCTAATAGATAAAATCCCATTTATTTTTGGCATTTCTTGCTCTGCTACTTTTGTCCCATGCTCTAGTTTTAGTTGTCTTTTGACCCAACTCTTTGTCCCATATCTATCTTGCATTTTTCAGTTCAATTTAACTTCTTCCCTCTATAATCATGAAAGCATTGCTTGCAATCTGCTTAGTTCTCTCTCTACCTTTTGTCACACTGTTCTTATATTTCTTGCTTTCCTCAAAATGTCCGTACCATTGATGGTTGTGTTGTTGGGGATAATACTGAGTGAGTATCTGTGTGCATTTTTATTTGTCTGTGTGTGTTTTAGTCCGTCTCTCAGTCTTCCGAGCTGTCCCAGTCCCAGCTGCAGCCACCTCAAGTTCTCTCATCTATAGAGAGGTAATAAATGCACACATAAGCTACCTCCCAAACAATCACTGAGCCTACAGTCCTCAAACAACATCAAATTCTTCATCACTTTTGATTTTTGTCTTTTCCTCTCGTTGTCTTCGGCTTCCATCTCTCCTTCATACATCAGTGGCCACTCTGAAATGTCAGGTCTGAGTGATGGCAACGAGGGGGGAGGAGGTCGCCACGAAGGGCGCTCCACCAAGAGACATCAGAGACGTTCTGTGCGAAGTCGATCGCGCCATGAGAAGATCTCCAAGGCGAAACTCAATGTCCTCAATGTAATAGCACATCCCATTAATCCTACAAAGTCATAATTCAATAATAAATCCTTGTCAACACTCACTCACCTGCTGACACTGTATTGCCTGTTATGGTGTTATGAGCTGCAATAAAAGTAATGAAAACATCAGACACACTCTCACACTTATTTTATTTTGTCTCCTTTTTAACTTTATTTTTCTCTCTCTTCATGTTCTTGTGTGTGTCTGTAGATCTCCAGCCGAGGAGACAGGGTAGCAGAGTGTCAGCTGGAGACTCACAACAGGAAGATGGTGACCTTTAGGTTTGACCTGGATGGCGACAATCCTGAGGAGATTGCTCAGATCATGGTACACACACTGGCCCTTGTTTCATGTTGTCCACCAGTCTTTTGATTAATCTAATCTCACTCACCTGATAGCTTTTCATTTGGCTGGAATATGCGTCACATGCCCATGCGCGTGCTGCCTATTCTTTGTCATCAGAAACCACTGACGTTCACGTAATTGCTCTGGTCCTGTTTTGTTTCATCGAGAGAGTTAGATACACACTGACATAGGAGGCATTAACCAGGATATTGCTTTGTTTCTGTCACATTTTACATCTAAACTCTGACTTTTTCACTGTTTCCAGGTCCAGAGTGAGTTCATCCTGGAGAGTGAGAGGGAGTCATTCATTGAACAGGTCAGGGAGGTGATAGAGAACGCTGATGAGAAGGGTCTGGAGAGAGACGCAAACAGCCAGGTAAATATTATTTTATTTTAAACACTGTACTCATCCCAGGTTTTACAAACCTTTTTTTTTCTGTCATAGTTAATCTTTATATGTAAACTCTGTTGATCTATAGATACCCGGTGGCATGGAGCAGCAGATTCCTGCCATATCTGTCCCCATGCCAGGTAAAAATTGCAGCAAGGATGATCATATTTTTGCTAATGCATTAGATGATTAGTAATAATGTTGTTTTTTCAGACATCCCTCCCAGTGCAACAGCACAAGTGGTTCATTCAGCAGGTCGGAGGTTCATCGTCAGCCCCGTACCTGAAGCCCGGCTGAAGGAACATATGTTTCCCACCACTCCTCCTCCTACTGCCACTGCACCTTCTGCTGAAACAGGTAGGGATCATTTGTCCGCTAAATTTTCTACCGCTGTTCTACTTCTAGATCTGACCCAAATAAGAAAACTTGTATCACAGCATTTTAATAAACAGTCATTATCATGACCAAGATGAAAAAAATTATAATTCCAGGTTTAGACCAGAAGTTTTAGCTTCAATCACTCATATCAAATGACAGTGTGACACACACACACATGCACGCAAACACACACACACTATAAGTACTTATCAGATTAAGCTGTAATGCTTTTAGAGGAATTATTCCAAACGTTCTGTCCAAATGCAATAACACACTGGCATTTATTTTATTTGATACTGAAGGATCTTCTAGAAGAACACTGGAACATAAACAGTGGTATCCAGTCTTCTATTGTATATAAATATATACAATCATTTTGCATTTCAAAGAGCTACAGCTAACAAAATGAAGAAATTACAAGTAAAACTTGTCATTTTAGTGCTTCGTAGTTTTCTGAATAATGCAAAGGAGAAACAAGGAATATGTTGTTACTGGATCCACATACAGTTGCAAGGCAGAGGGAAAACTACTGGAATGAATGTAGTCAGGATCACTAAACTGGAGGTAGCCAGAGTCAGAAGTGGTTAATTGTATAGACATCCCTTAATAAATGAAACCAAAGGTCATAACTCTCTTATGACCTTTAAACTTTTACATGTGAAATCGATCTGGTTTAAAGTTGTGTATGTATTTCTCCAGTTCCTCCAGGTTCAGCTCTATCTCAGACCCCGGGCCAAGGTTTGGGGTTGTCCCAGTCTGCAGGAGCAATCAGCTTACAACAGGCCTTCTCCGAGCTCAGACAGAACCAGAATCAGTTCGATTCAGGACCCAGCACCGCCCCAGCCTCCATTCACTCCACCCATCCTTCTCTACAGCCTTCGGCTGCCCCTGTCCCTTTACAGGCTAGCACTTTTTCCTCCACTGCTGATATTACTTCTGGTCTTGTCCCCTCAAATTTAACCAAGGCACAGGAGCAGGTCATGGATGCCTCACTTCCTCCTCATTCCTCCTCCCCCTCTGCTGTCCCTGTCTGTATCAGTCCTCCCTGTTCCTCCTCTCCTCCTCCGACTGTGGTGAACCAGTCCATCCTCCAGTTGCAGCCCGGGACGCAGGCTGTGTCCCAGCTCCAGGGACAAGCACAAATTCAGCCCCAGGCTTTCACCCATCCTCAGTCCCAATCAGTCTTTGCTGTCACTGCTACTTCAGTACCTTCCACTTTACCACCGGCGAGCATCTCCAACATCGCCTCAACAATGCTCACCTCTCCTCCCCCTGCACAGACTGTTCCTCTTGTATCCTCCCCTCCTTCCTCCACTCTCACAGCCAGCGAAGTCTCCTCCAATCATCAGTCCGTCTCTTCCACCTCGTCCTCCACTCCTTCGCTCTCTTCTTCGGCCATCCACACTACCGCCATCCCAGGCCCCCAAATCACTCCCTCTGCTGCCTCCCACACCACTCCACCTATTCTCTCATCTTCCTCCTCTCCTGCGGGGCTTCAGCCAGTGACCACAAACGTTCCTTCAGTCCAACCAACCTTGGTTCACTCCCAGCCACAGACTGCAGCCCTGCCTGGGCAGACACATACACACTGTGGAGAATGCGATGCAAGGTGAGAGTCGGTTGATGTGCTTTTATTTTGTTGTGTGGTACATGCTGAGTAAATTGTAATAAACACACACACATAATTTTGCTTTTGTAGTAAAGAAAATTTGACAAGACAGAGAAATACTCAATATTTGAACGAGTTTACATGGACTTCATATTTTTCTCAGGTGTGAGGCGTCAGCTGAGTCCCAAGGCAAACCGGATGACATCCAAGTTCTGGAGAAGAAGCTGCGCTCTCTCTTCATGGACCTTGGCGGAGGAGTGCCCTCCACCCAGGGAGACATCTTAGCTGCTGACACTGCCTCTGGATCTGTGGCAGGTACCTCGTCCCCATTGGGGCCCAGCTCTACCTCCACCACATCTGTTACCACACCTGGCTCCTGTCTGCCAACCAATCCTCTTCAGCCCCCCTCCAGCTTAGCGATAGGGTCAGTGGGGTCACCTGGACCTGGGACACCTATTTCCACCCCTGCACAGACGGGTAGGTAGAAGAATGTGTTGCGTTTCTTTATAGTGTGATTTAATAAACATGCTTTCTAACTTTATGATATTTATTTTCTTCAGTTATCCCTGCCTCATCCTTTAGCCAGACCACTCCATCTAAAACCCCCTTATCCAGGGTGCCGGTAAGTGATCCAGTTAAAAACATTATTTTAGCTCTTGTTAAAACATTTCCTTACTTATGTGGTTGCAGAGCATGTGCATGTTTTAGTGGAAACTGTCAAGCTAATTACACTTCTACACTTAAAGGTTAAGAATTTAGATTTTTTAATGTGGACAATTAGTGTTCCAACATGTTTCAACTCACTTTACTTACAACTCATCTGGCATGAAAATTTCTTTTAACATTCCCCCTGATGAACACTATTCTTATAACCTCCTCTACAACTGTTTCTCTCTCTCGTTTCTCCCACTCTGTCTTTTCATCGCCTCTCTTTCTCTGGGATTAGGCCAGTTCATCTCCTTCAGAACTCCTGCCATCCTTCCCTGGACCTTGTGTAATGCAGGTGTTTTTTCTTTGCTCATTTTAAAGAGTCAATTGTTGTATCTATGTTGAACTTGTGGGTAACTGTGATTACTTTTAAAGTGGAAAATTACATCCTAAACAACATCCGAATAATTCATTAGAGCAGAGAGATGCAATTTCATGAGAAGTTACCCATATTCACCTCTCATGTCTGATGTTTGTGGAGATATGCCATCACAGAACTTTTAAAAACTACACAGCTAAGCACGGGGGTCAGAAATTAAAATATATTTTAATGATTAGACCAACAAAGTCATGGTTGAAAGTCACAAAAACTGATCTTTGAAGCAACAAATTGTCTCCCCTTGTGGCAATACAAAAACAGTAAAACAAAATTAGTGAACTATCTTTGAGTTTTTTAAACACAACTTTCTTTGAATCATTAAAATCAATATAGTGACAGCATAATAAAATCATATCAGCTGAAAGTTGATAAATTGTTATTTGATTATATTGAATTGTTGCCCTCACGTGTTTTTGGCTCATTGGTGTTCATGTTGCTAATCAGTGTGTCTTCCTTCAGTCCCAGCAGCCTCTGGAGGACCTAGATGCACAGTTGAGGAGAGCACTGAGTCCAGAGACTGTTCCTGTCAGCACACAATCACAAGTAAACATACACACACAGGTTAACATGTTATTATGGTATCTCATACTGACATTGCACCCTGTGCACTGGTTCAATCACACTGCTCTGTATTAATCCATCTTCTCCCCCCTCTCAATGCCGAACCCTAGGCCTCTCACAGTGGTTTTACTGCAGTGGGACCGCCAGGTATGTATACTAAAGAAAAAAGGATGTATGCAAATCTATTGATTATCTGACTTATATTAGCTTCTGTTTTATATTTGTAATATTTGTCTTTCAGTACCCTTTTCTCTTGATGAGGACACTGTGTCCTCTCCTGCTCCTTCTCCTGCAATTAAACTTGGAAGATTTCAGGTAAATGCTAATTCACACTGCAGACCATATATAGATGGATACCTTAAATAAAGATGGCTGAAGTTATTAAGTAAAATGTCTGTTTCTCTTTTCTATGTTGCTCCCTCCCTTTCCTTCGTATTCTATCACCTGCTTAGGTCTCACTTGCCACTGAAGAGCCTCCAGTCCGACACCCGGCCTGCACTGAATCGTCCTCCACCACCTCCTCGTCTTCGTCCTCTTCCTCCTCATCCTCCAGTCTCTCCAGCCCAGAAAACACACTGCATAAGGACACCTTGTCTCCTCTGAAAGGGGGAGGAGAACAAGGAGGAGACATTGTTGACGGACTCCCCCAAAGGACAGTGACAGGATCCCACCAACCCTCGCCCTTCACCTCCCCTTGCCCGTCTCCTAAGCCCACTACTACAATAGGACGCTTTCAGGTATTTTTAATTATGAAGTTAAATGGGTGATGGGTCACAAAACCCTGCAAGTACAATATAAACAATTAAAGCCTTTGTTACGGCTTTGGTTATGAATTAAAACATTAAATTAACAGTGTTTTACAGCTCATCTCAAAAATATCTGTAAACTGTGCTGGTCAAAGTTCTCCTCCACTTTTAAAATTTGGCAAAAGTGGTTTAAGACTGTTCTTGTCCTACATTTTAAGGTCACCACCAACCCAGAGGCTCGTGTCGGTAGATTCTCGGTCAGTCGTGCCCAGGAGCAGAGCCTTGAGCCCAGGCAGACCCCTCTACCCGCTGCCCAAGCTGCTAACGGACCCAGCGAACCCAGGCAGATTTTGACCCCAGACTCAACTCATAAAGCCTCCCTGCCAAGCTTAAACAACTCCTTCAATAACTCCTACATCAGCAGCGATAACGACTCCGAATTTGAGGACGAAGACTTCAAATGTGAAGTCAGCCGGCTCAGAGAAAAGTAAATTGTCCCCTCTTCAGTTCTTAGAAATCTGAAAAAGTATAGTCTGTCTTTTCTTCCCCCAGAATAGTAGGCTGTGCCCTGTTCTCTTATCCTCTTCTCTCACCCTCAAGAATGAGGTTAACAACCCACTTTCCTCCATTGCTTCTCTTTCTTTATCTTATTTTCCTGAAGAGGGAAGCTTAGCTCTTCTAAGAAAACTAGGCCCTCCTGCCAGAACCTCATTATTTCTTTCGTTTTGCAAGGCAATATTTTATTCCAAATATTTATTCTCTCTGCTTTCTGCCAGGCACATGCGTGAGATTCAGGCCCTCCACTCACGTCAGAAGGAGGAGATAGACAGCCTCTTTACCAGGCTGGGAAAGGTAACTCATCTTGGCTACATCAGTGTACACTGAAAAACATGATAAACAGCATCACACACAGTTGCTAACAAGAAACCATTCTTCTTCTGATTTTATTTAGGTTCCTCCGGCTGCAGTGCTCCCTCCAGTTATAGCTTTGACTGGCAGGAGGAGACGACCTACCAAAAGTAAATCCTCCAAATCGTCCAGAACCAGCTCTATGCACGGCAGCAAGAGTCCGTTACAGCCAGGTACGTTCTTGCCTAAACATTAATATTCAAGTCTTAGTTTGTCCAAAAGAAAGAAAAATATGTTTTTGATATTTATCTGGTAGCATCAAGCCATGTACGAACTTTCGTTACAGGAACTTTGTTAGTTCAGAAATGATGAATCTAAATGAATGAATGTACTAAACTTGAAGATCCTTTGATAGCAGGTTGATTGGTTGATGATCATAAACCTGCAGAACTAATGACATGTGTATTGATTATTACCTAATATTTGCTTTGTAACATGCTAAACAAAAATGGTCAACATGTAAAACATGAGCATGTCAAGGTGAACATTTAGCTCAGAGCTAAATGGCTGAAATTTAATTCACTGCACCAAAGCAAAGATAAATAGAAACCCGAGCTATCCACATGGCTAGATACTACCAGACTGAGGTGATGTATTTTTAAGCAATTTGCTAGACCTGACCTTTGAACCCTGCACCTCTGAATAATAACTTACCTTAATCTTTAACTCAAACCCCCCCACAGTCAAGATGCTCACAAACTCTCACTAACATTGCATCTTCTCTGTGTTTATGCATCCTTGTGCATGTGTGTATGTGTGCTGGAGCAGACTCTGAGCCTCTAAATTTCTGACTACTTTCCCCTCCTGTGTTTTCTCTGTTTGTGATGTGATGTTTTGGTGACTATGTAAATGTCTGTGGTGACGGGTGTCTCATCTGTCCATTATCTTTGTGTGTGTGTGTGTGTGTGTGTGTGTGTGTGTGTGTGTGTGTGTGTGTGTGTGTGTGTGTGTNTGTGTGTGTGTGTGTGTGTGTGTGTGTGTGTGTGTCTGTTCCCTGTGGTGTGTCGTTCCTATCCTGTCCTCTACTGCCCATGCCATGTGCCTTTTTTAGGCAGCACTTTATCCGCCCAGAGCGTCCCGACCATGTACCCCGGGCAGCTGGCTCTGTTAGCCCCAGGAGGATTAGCTGATTCGGGCAGCAGCACTCTGCCCCAGCCCCTCAAACCCTCTCCCTCCAGCGATAACCTGTGTTCGGCCTACACCAGTGAGGCGGCGCTCTCTGTGCCCAGCCTGTGTGCTCCCACCCCAGGTAGGCATGCTGCAGGGAATTACAGGCCATACAAAAATTGAATTTGAGCTTGGATAGCTTGTTTTACTCTTTGTATGCGGGCAAAGACAAAGGTACACAGTTTGTTTGTCCTCACTCCAACACAACAGGACACTCCTTTTTCTACCTGTCTTGGACTATTTCTCTCTCTGTCTGTGTGAATCAGTGTGATGGCTAACTGACTGTTACATTATCCCTGTCATCTATCCCTCTTCTGTCTTTCTCTTCTCCATTTTTCATTCCTACCTGTCTTCTCTCTCTGTTGCTCTGCTCTCTTCTCATTGTCTCTCCTGTCCTTTACTCACCTCTCTCTCTCTACATCTTCCTCCCCTCTTCTGCACTCTCCTTTCCTTCTTCTTCATCTCCTCTCTCCCCCTTTCCCTCCTCCCTCTCTTCAGGCTGTGTAAAGTTCAGCTGGGGTTCGGAGCGTTTGGCCTTCAAGCCTGGCGGCAGGAGGACGCGCTTTCTGAGTACGCCCTGCTTGGCTCTTTGTGTGTAACGCTTTCTTTGCTCTTATCTTTTATCCGTCCTTACTTTTGTTCTAGTTTTCTTTTTTTTACTCCTATATCCGTCAAGTCCCAGTCATCCTGTCTTCCCGTGGGTTTTCTTCTTTGATGGAAGAAGACCCTCTGCTTCTGATATCCTGCTGAAATCTGCTGAATAAAAAAAAATCAGCTTTCAGGAACTAGTAGAAAACATTTATTTCCCCAGAGGAGGTTAGCTGAGTTAGCCTTCTTTTTATTTTACTTAACTATCCTTACAACCATTCTAAAGACGTTTGAAATACAAAAGGTAATTGAACAATTAAAGATGAGCTTACTGCAGGACATGAAGTGATCAAGATGATACTTCAAAAAACAAATGATATAAATAAGACATTTGATTTCATGAGAAGATTAAAACTTACATTTTTTTAAATTATGAGTACAATACAACTACAACTGATTGCATAAATCTAAATAAAGTCCCAGGGAGAGCAGGCTAAACCAGCAGCTAAAACAATGTTGATCTGCCTGTAGCTTCATTGTGCTGTATTTACATTGTAGTCATTCTGCTAATGCCCCACACAAACCTATTAACAGTTGGATAGGCCTTGAGTCCATGATGACTGGCACTGTGAGCAGAGCAGCCAGCAGCATTACTGGAATTCTGCATCCAGTCCATTCCTATCATGAAATCTGTTAGTTAGACTGAAAGCTGAGTGACATGGTGCAGTTTTGTTGGATTGTCTGTGTCGATATGAGTTTTGATTCACATCCTGAGTGCTTCCATTTCTTATCTTTGTCCCCATTAAAACAAGCAGACTAGCAAGGAAAGACAAGTGGAGACCTGATGACTTGAGACCTCTGTCATACGGTTTTTTTCTTTTGGAGATTTGTTTTTTTATTCAACTTCATTAGTTAATTAAGTACAGTTCTGTTTGGATACTCTGAATCCGTATTCATTTATTCATTAATCAAAGAAAATGTTTGAAGCCAAATTATAATCATAGTATGTACTGTTGTTGGTTAAATGTCTTGTGCTTGATGAAGGGATCATTATGAATGCTTACAAACTCTCTGCAGCTCAAATCCTTTCTCTCCCTTCCTCCCTTCCTCCCCTACCTCACCCCTTATTCCCCCCCCCCCCCCCTTCCCTCACCTGTCCCTCTGTCACTGCACAGCCAGGAGGGGAGAGAGAGACAGACCTGGGTCTCAGTTGTTATAACCTGTTTATTAGTAGCTAGTGAAAAAATCATAAAATTGGCATGACGTCTATATTAGCCTGATAATCCCACTGACTTCATTCTATTTAAGTCACAGCTGTGGCAGTGATTCAGAGGTGTGGAATAACACTGTGCTGATATACATCTATATATTCCACATGTTCGACCCAGTTCTGGTAGGGCCCTATGAGCTGTAGAGGACTCAGGAGTTGGTTTCCCAAAAGCATTGTAAAGCCACGGTACAGGGGTGATACTTTGAGGCAGTGTACAAGAAAATGATCTTACCATTTAACTGATGTATTATCTGTTTAAGAGCTTTTATTAAAAAGTATTTTTATTCAAGCATGAACAGTTGCTTGTTGCTGCCACAGTAACTCTGTCTGCACTTCCTCAGAGGTTTGCCCACATATCGTGGCTCTGACAAAGAGAGCATCTTTACCCAGTTGTTAATGTGTGACATTTCTAGTCTGTTTGAAACAGACGGATTACAAAGCAATGAAAATAAATATAAATATCACATGTGCATTATAGAAAATGAGGATTGACACTCGTCTCTTGTTTGCTTTGGTTTCAAGGGTCAGTGATCTCTTTTAAGATGTTGTTGGGCAACTCAACCTCAAAGTGTTGTATATTTATACCTCAGGTTCAAGTAATCACACGTGCATTGGTTGTCGGTTGTTGTTGGGTTTAACTCTGACTATCTCCCAATCCTCCAATTGTTGTCTTCCGGGCCGCACAGGGAAGATGGTGAAAAAAGTCTGCCCCTGCAACCAGCTCTGTAGTAACTATCTCTCTTTTTGGTCTATCCTCCCTCCATCCATCCCCTCCCTTCTCCACCCTCGCACTCGCTCTCCCATGCTTCCTCCTGCCCTCCGATGCCTTGTAGGTTTCAAGTTTGACCTTCAGCCAGATTTGAGATCAGATCAATTCAGTAGTTTCAGCTCGTGTAACACTCTAGTTTTAATTTTAGTCGTGTTTGAGCTCTGAAACGACTGAATTAACCATCACAGACTCAAACGGACATGCATGCACCTGCCAGCTCTTACACACATGATCAACCACACGCTAACTCACCCAGACAGCTGTTCGCCTCTCTATCCCCTTCCTCTCCCTCCCCTTCTTCATCATGGCTTGTTGTCTAGACTACGTTGCCCAGAGTTCCATGCTGCTGCAGTCAGTCATGACTCAGTGTCTCCTCATATTTATTTTCCTCCATTTTATTTAGCATGACGTGACAGTTTTTTTTCCAGACCAGCTGTATGTTTCGATTCCGACTGGCTAATCCCTGCATATTCTATCCTTATGTCTGATGGAGTGAGATCATATAAACATTTCACAGCCATTTTGTCAACATTGCTTTGGGTTCTATTTGTCTGCAAAGGAAATTCATCAGCTCCTTGTAGTTATAATTTGGATTTAAGATATTGTGCAGCAACAAATCAGCAGAGTTTGTGAAAGACTGAGGTCTGGAGTTTTCCTCTTTGCATCTCTAAGTGAAAAGTTCTCTCTTGGCTTGGTAGAGAGACACTAACATTAAGAAAAACAAACCTGCTGTATAGTATCATGATGACGTCATGTAAATCAGTTCATGTTCTTGCTTTTCAACACAAGCTGCATACAGTTTGCAGTGTGTGCTGTTTTTCTTGCTCTGATGACTGAGGGTTGAGCAAAGAGCAAACAACCTGCTGCTGTTACATTGCTTGAGCGCCATCTAGTGGGGGAAAGGTGAATTCAAGCAGTGAGATCAGTGGTACACAGGGCTCATCCGCTCAGATCAGCCTCGCTGTTGGAGAATGACGCTGAGCATGGCAGCTTTACAGATTTCCCAGTGTATCCCTAATCTGATAAATACAAGATTTAGCATTTGTCATAATTATTGGAAAAACTGCCCAATGTTCACACTAACTGTTGCTCTGGTATCGTATCTCTTGTTCCTGTTTGTCATCATTATATTGATCATTTAAACTAAACAGTATAATTCTAGGACCATGATCTGCCCTAAAACTCTGCCCTGACCAGCTTCTCACCACATAACAGCCTTTCCCATAGTCAAGACTGGACATACATCCACATTCATTCAGAAAACATTAGTTTATGTCCTTGTTTGAATAGTATCTCACATTATTTTGCTCCCCCCGTTTGTTTGTCCTCACAGGGACGAACAGCACCATCGCTGTGAGCGGCTCCGGAGGTTTGGGTCAGAGCCAGACGAGTTCTCAGTATCTGCCCGCCAACATGACGGCCCCCCACCAGAGGAAAGGAACCTTCACCGACGACCTCCACAAGCTGGTGGACAACTGGGCCCGAGACGCCATGAACCTCTCACAGGTTTGCTGCTGTTATTTGATTCATGCCAGCAAAGGTTGTTCCTTTCCTCCCACCAGCTCCTGGAGGTAGTTTACTCAGAATCTACTGGCTGATGGGATGTTTTCTTAACATCTACAACATCCTGTATCCATTTGGCACTTTGAGTGATCCACACTAACTCAAGATACAGATGTTGAAACCCGAAATCCCCACCAATTATTTGTTTTACTTGCTTTCTTTGACTACAACTGAGGTTTTGATCATTGTAGAGCTGAGTCAATAAAACAGTAACAATTTGAATATTTGTTTAATAAACTAGTTAACAAATAAGAATTTACTAATATGCTGGAAAGTTCATGTATTTGCATCATTCTTCTAATAGGGATCCTAATAAAACCTTAACATCCTATCCTTAAACCAGATTTTTAATCTTTAATATTGGGTCCTTAAATAAAAAAAAAGAATTGTTTTATGTGATGAATTATACAGTTTGATTACTTTCTATACAGCCAAGATAACTAAATTTCAGTTTGACAACAAACTAACTTTTTCAGGGTAAGAGGAGTGCCAAACAGCTGCAGCAAGCTCCAGCGCAGGGACACAGCTACGAGGTCAGTCTAAACACACACACACACACACACACACACACACACACACTGGATGCAGTCTTAATAAATATATATAAAGTTGATTGATATTAATATTTAACACCTGCTTTAATGTGATCAAATTCCAGCTCTGAATAAAATCATATCACCACATAAATGATGAATCTTTTTCCTCTTGTAAGGTCATCCAGTCAGCGAGTCTGGGCAGGAAGTACTCGGCTCCCAGCCAACTGTGTCCCAGCAGCATCGGAGGCTCTGCACACCTACCCACAAACCCCACCGCTACCTCTATGGCCGGCCGCAAGGGCTCCCTGTGCCACCCCCCCGCCTCCTCCACTCCACCCCAACCCCAGCCTTCCCAGTTCATCCACTACACCCCCAGCGCAGCATACAGCGCGCAGTGGTCTGGTCCGGCTCATGGCTTGTCGACCCAACACCAGGCTCCAGGACAGCCTGGGCCCCTGCTGGTCAGCACCTCCCAACCCCTGGGCCCCTACCCCACCCCACAGGGTCAGATTCCCGGGCAGGGGCCATTCCAGGCTTTCCATTTGACCAACGCTCTGCAGAAATCTGTCAGCAACCCAGGAGGACCCAATCTGAGGACCACGTAGGGCTGGGGATCAGGGCTGGAGTGAACTACGGCCCAACAGGTGTGAACTGGGCGAAGAGTGTTTTGGGCTGAATCAGTCAGAGGGGGCGGAAGAACAAGGAGCACGGGATTTAAAGTTGTCGGAACCTGACCTGTCAGGAGAATGGAGAAAGATACAAGAGAAGAAACCAGGAAAGAGAATTTTCAAGTGCGACCATCTCCCTTTCCCTCTGCTTCCATCCAAGTGTGCGAGACACTGTCACAGACGCAGCTAAACAATCTCCTTGCCTGCTGTGTTTGACTCGGGCTTGTGACAGCAGCCAAATGCTCAAGGATAAAGGAAAAGACTGATGAGTGCAATGTTAACAGGCCAAAGAGGTTGTGACAGGGTATGGGACTGGTGTTAAAGACTGAGTGTGTGTGTGCCATGTTGTGTATGAGCTATTATTACTTAATCACACTTGTTCCAGAACGTGCTTTAAATTGAGTGAATGAGCTCATACATGATGGGGCGCACGTGTCCTAGTTTACGGTGGGAAGACACAACATGCGGTTAAAGGGGAAGAATGTGGTGACGATGTAAACGTCAGCAGACAAAAGCTTTGGTAGGAAGAAAAAGATGTTTAGAACTGTGTCTGTGATTATTATCTTGTGTGTGATCAGTCAGGTGTTTTCTTCAGTATTCAGACATTTTTCTTAACTGTCAAAAGCACAAAGAATATCGAGAACAAATGGAATTAAAGCATTCATAGAACAGTTGTAGCTCAGCACTTGGTGGAATCAGCTTGAGGGAAGTCGTGACGGCTTCTCGTTCCTCCTCCGTTCTGGCAAAGCATTCGAACAGAGCTAGAAAGGTGGAGGATAGATAGTAGGTGGAGATGGAGAGAGCCACCTTCTTTACTGTTCCTCTGCTTACTTCAGGAATGATAAATCGATGAGAGCACTTATTGGGACACGACGATGCTCCTGCGCGCCCAACACCTCTTCACTGTCACGACTCCACCTCCTCCTTCTCCTCCATCCCTCTCTCCGCCTCTCTGTTGCCATTTGAAGCAATAACAGCAGAAACCTTTTAAGAGGAAAGGAAAAAAAAACATGAGAGAACTCATTGTGAAAAAGTGGCCTTGTTATCAGAATAATATCACAGTCCCTGTACAGTTTATTTTGTAGAATTTGATGATTCCATTTAGTTCTTTTATTTTGGTTTTGTATTGTTTTTTTGTCTGGTTTTGTTTGCTTCCTACCCCCAGCTGGCAGTCTGACACACACAGACACACACACACACACACACACATCAGACATTCTGTCAGACACACACACATTCATGCACAGACAGATGTAAATACACACGTTGGAGGCGTAGCAGCTGTTTAACGAACATAGATGTCTCAGTTCTTAGCGTCATTAAGCTGGTTTCAACACTCGGGTTGAAATAATTGCAATGTACATTTATTATCAACATTATTGTTGTTAATGATTATTATTCTATTTAAAAAGAAACAAACAAAAACATGTTCTGTCGACGGACCTGTTATACACGCACATCGGTGCCCGATGTGGAAACACTGTGATTATTGTTGTTGTTAGCGAAAGTGTTGTTGGACGACTTTAGTTTTAGGTTGAAATGTCACAAAGTAATATTAAAAAAACGAGAGAACGGTTCGGGGTCCTTTCACTTTCATTTCACTGCTTTCTGCAAATTCTCATCAAAATGTGAAAATAAAAACGACTCTTTTCAATAAACGTCCACAAATCCATTCACTGAGGACTTCCTTCTAAACAAATGCCTTATACCAACAACGAATCACCCGAGCTTCAGTTCATCTTTACAACTGATTGAATTGAAAGCTGAAACTGACCTCAGAGCCTGAATATAAAGAAAAAAACAGAATGAACGGCAGGATAGTTGGTATGTAGATTTTTAAAAAAGTAATGCTAGCTATTTTTTTCTTAATACAGTACTTATACAGTATATCAGACACTTTAAATAGCCCTCCTCTTCCCTTCCTCCCCTGGTTTTGTTAGATGAATGTGAATGTATAAACCAATGGTGTCCATTTTAATGTACTTGAAAAGAAAAAGTCTGTCTTTTATTTTTTTTGCTCTGTCTCTTCCCCCCCCTCCAAGCCTCTGGTGAATACTAGAGGTATTTACTAGTGCCTTGCCTCCTTCCTGTTGCTTCTTTGTTGGGGTGGGTGAAGGATTTGGGTTGACGTGGGCGCAGCGTGCGTGGGGAGTTGCGGGTTGTCACTGTGACATCGGCGGTGATTGTTGGACCTGGTTGATGGAGCTGGAATGAGCTGCTGTTGTCAGCTCAACAGGTTGTGGTTAATTCTCTGTGTCCTTCAAAATGATACAATTTTAAGAAAGGAGGAAGCTGAATTGAAGACCTTGATATCAGCGTTGTTTCTTTCATTGCTGTGCTTTGCTCTTATGCGCACGAGGCCCGGCTGTGTCTTCAGGCCCAGTTACACCACCAAGAAAAGATGGAGAGAACGTGATACTTTATTGGTGCCATTTTGTTTTTTCAGGGTTTTAATTGTAAATATGAGGAAGGGGGTTCCGTTTTAAGGAGATTGGAGTTTTTGAAGATTGTATTTGAAGCTTGGACCACTCTGTACTTTAGAGGCACTGGCCCTGGTGCAGCAGAAAGTTCAGTCAGAAGACGATGCATTGACACAGTGATCGAAAGATCAATTTCTCTTTAATCCCGACTTATCTCTGGTGTCATACGTGTTTTATACCAAAACATAAATCGTATTTCTTTCTTACTGCTTTGTGAATTTGGCTGATAACAAGACAATCTAGATGAAAATACTAATTTGGAATAAAGTCTCAAAGTTTAGCTTTTACTCTACAGTCAGTTGAAGCGGGTTTAATTGGTTCCTGATTTCGTGGCCTCTGAATGTAAAAGAAAAAGCATCTCCTTCTGGATTTTGTGCACAATTTAATTATTTTCTAATGAGTGAGAAGCAGTGCAACTTTAAATATTAAAACTCTGACATAGTAACAAACCAAATCTGCTTCATCAGGACTGTGTCTGTGGTTTGATCAGATCCTGCTCCATGAGGATTAGACATAAAGTAAACACAAAGATCTCTATTTTCATGTATGAACACATCACTCTTGTTTGCCTAAATATGTAAACTCACCAGGAAAGATGTCGGATGTCTTGTCTTCTGTAATCTAAAAGCATTTATGAGGCCGGTAGCGCACTGCTGTCTGCTTCCCCATCTGAGAGGTGCTGCTGCTGCTGTGCAAAGAGAGCAAAGAGTCCGAGAAAGGTATGAACATCCTCTCCTCCACTCCTGTTCCCACTGTGTTTGTGAAGCTGCACCAATCACGCTTAAACTAAATGTGTGGTGGTGGTGTTAGAGTGAATGTGAGCACAGTGGTAGTCATGATGGAAGCAATGGGGGTTTCAGATTCTAGGCCTTTGACACCCTGTTCTGCTTTACCTTCATTTATCAGAAAAAATCAAAACATATCTGGTACAAACTTTAATATTCACATAAAAAAGACCTTGCATCTTTTATTTGGTTTTTCGTTGGGAAGGTTTTGTTCTGGATTCACGTTAACACATTACAAAAAGGTCACTTTGTGAAGTCTCTACAAAAACGACAACATTGCTTCTGCCTGTTTGTTTTTTGTGACATTTTCCCGTGAACGTTAATGCAAAATTTTTTACTACTTAGCAAGTTTGGTTGAAGCTGTGAATAATAATTGAGCCACTTTGCTTTAGTTCCGGTTCAGAGCGTTCTGTCAAATCCTTAAATGACGCCATCGACTCAGTGCCATTTGACGTGTTGTCAGTGGAGTGGAACCATCAGAAGTGAAGAAATTTAAAAAAAGAACATTTGAGTGTAATATTTACCTGCTGTTACTCACTGGAGCTGTTTTGGTTGGAGTTTCACTTTGCAACCGCTCGAGCCTCAAATGATTTCCACAGTAGAGGTGTGATCATATTTTTGCTGTGTCTCTACTACACAAAACTACGAAAAGGAATGCCCTGTGTGCAATGGCCGTAATGCAATATCCTGTAAAGTGACTGTGTGTTGTCGTGCTGGGAGAGAGCTCTTACTGGGAAAGGTTTGGGAGTTCTCCAGCGCTGGCGACTCTTATTGTGAAATTTACTTTAAGGTTTAAATTCTGGTGACAAAGATAAAGTGCAGCAATAGTTGTTTTAACTCGCTCACATTAGAGATTTAGTGTGTTGGTGTTTTAACAGGACTCGCTTTCCCTTTATGCTTTTTATTGTAAAAGTGCCCACATGTTAAAATCACATAATGCCTTCTCATGTACCAACAGATCAACACACACACACACATATTCTCACACACACACTCACACACACTCATCTCCTCACTGTTTCCTGTAGCTCTCTCCTGTGGAATGACATTGAGTCTCGAGTTCTTCTCGACTGTTACTGAAAAACTGTTCTCCCCTTTTTCTCTAATTCAGTTTATCTGCAGTTTTAACGTCTCTAGCAGCGATTAACTTAATTGAGTGGTTTCATTTTTTTCTGTATCATGTTTGACATTGTACAACAGTGGTTGAATTACAAAAAACACACGGATGAGAAGAAAAACAAGACAAAATACATGTAGGGAGTCATCGGCAGCCTTTAATGGTATGTTTTGCACTAAGTATAGAGTGTTCAAGCTTCATAATAAAAAGAAACTGCGCTTTGCGCTACAATACAATAAAATTTGTTACTTTATTTGTAAAAACTAAATAAAAGTTGTTTAAATGAACGGAATTGACTGAGTTTGAATCACTTGTACAGACAATTTACGTTGCAGGAAATTACTTGTGCTTGTTCCTGTTGTTCTTTTTGAGGACGCAGTCGCCGGTTACTTCATTTGTAATGGATTTGGCTGCAACGCTGTTTACCCCTGAAACTCCACAAGTGTTTTGAGGACTCAACACCCACCCCTCTATCGACACAGTGGTGAGTAGATAAGTGAATTATAAGTGAGAATAGTGAATTTTCATTTTTCTGTGAACTATCCCTTCAAGATAGTTTGATCTCTCTGTTGTTACAGCAGTACCTGTGTTTCTCCACAAGGCTGCAGCATGTTTCCTTATTAACATGGAGGAGTATCTGTTGCTCACACAGGTCCCCTTCCTTCCTTTAACCACATTAAACTGATCTCAGGAAACAGCTTGTTGAGAGGTGTGAATCCTGAGCTCATTATGTGTCACTATGGAAACAGTGAGAATAAAATGTTGAGCTCAGAGAAACAGAGGCCTGAGGAAGGAAGGGAGGAAGGAAAAAAAGACTCAACCGCTCGATTATAATAACAATACAATACATTTCCATCACACTCTTTTCCTGCTATGATATTTATACTTCACTGTAAAATAATTATACTGACTAGGTTTTTTATCGTGTTGTCAGCTTTGTTAAATTTAACCAGAGAACCTGCATGTGCTTCCCAAATTTGAATATATTAGTTAAGAGGAAACCACAATTTCATTATCCTCAGGTTGAAATTTTTATTCGGAGATGAAATAACCTTTTAGAAATATTTGAATAAGCTTGACTAGCCAGGAAAATGAAAGGTTTGATTTTCAGCGTAATGTTTTTTTTAGTATTTGAAAGTGTGCATGTAGATGTGTGTTAAAGCATGAGGGGAGAAAAAACTTCCATTTAAATACTTAATACTTAATAATTTATTTCATCCTATTTTAAATTGTTATAAATGCTTCTCTCGAGATCAGAGAAGACGAAGTGTGATAATCATGAGAAGAAACCAAACTGGTTTATACCATGAACAAGGTGGGACTTTCCCCCACAGAGACAAACCTCCTACACATATGTAGCTTCTTTAAAGTCACTAATCAGTCAAATAAAAGACATTTCCACCAAAGACTAATAAAACAATTTATATTCCTTCTGTTTTCCCCCATGTCAGACAAATAATTGCCTTTTTACTAATGTGAGAAAATCCCTGTTATACAGTACAGTATCAGGGAACCACCATCCTGTTCGAGTTACCCTTCAAGTGGCCTGAAGATAAAGATGTATCAATACCTGTAAGTACTGCTGAGAAGATTGACAGCTGGTACTTAATTCCAGATTAAATAGTGTGTTTCAGGAGATGTAGTCTTTACTTCAGCAGTTAATTTGACAATGATATATCACTAATTAAGAAAACTACACAGACATAAGTAGCATATAGAGCTTTGCATGATTCAGTGAATGTAGCTGTTAACTATCTGTCTTTTTAAAAAATCACATTACTGTTAATATCATGTGTCTGAAGTGTTGGTTGCTGTTTTGACGACACCAACCACAGATTTTTCTAATATATATTTACATATAAACACAGATAATTACTTGTTACGCTTTTTAGCTGACAATGACTTTCCATACTAGGACTAATGAAGGGCTCTGTGTGTGTGTGTGTGTGTG